TAGATTGACTTAGCTGCTGATCGATGGAGGTTTTATTGAACTGTTTGGTGGTTGATAACTGCTTTGGCAATTATAACCGAACTACAGTTTTATTGATCAGATATATGCTGTAATTTGGGTGCTGTTCATATATAACAAAAACACATTCTCTGTTTTCATTTTTTTTCTGAGTTTTATCCGATTGAAGATTTCGATAGCACCATCGAAATATTTCGATCTGAAAGTGTTTACACGACTCTCAGATATACTGTGATCCTTAAATTTTTTCTAACAATATATATATATTTTCTACTATTACCTCAAATGAGTCAACGATACTAAACAATTTAATTTAGGTCAAAAGTACCTCGAGGTCTCAGGTTCAAATCCAAGGAGGAATAAAAATCTCATTGTGGCCAAGGAGGTTCAAATGCGGTGACTACAGACTATCTGCAAAACATGTGGTCGTCTTAGGATTAGTCGTCTCACATAGCGGGTTGAATATTCAGGTTAATAAAAAAATTAATATATAAGACATTAAAAAGATAAGAAAAATCAAATATCGCATTACAAGAACATGACATTAGGCCATGACTTGACACAAACTTAACGTGGTGTGACACACAAACTTTGAGACAAGACGACTGCCGCAGCGAGTCTTTTAGAACAGTTTCTACGACCCTACACCACTACAGCCCCCTCTTTGTTTCTTTTTCTGCCACTCTCTTGAAAGGTGACAAAGAAGGTAGGTGGCATTGATAAACATGTTAGCTTATAATTTTTTAATGTTTTAAATATACACGTGATTTATAAATATGTATATCAAAAACATACAAATTTACCAAAATTGTCTTTTATGTGAGTCACTTTACAAAATTACAATAACAAAATCCACACATTTAAAAATAAAGTTTTTAATAAAATATAGGATAAATTGTATGAAAAAAGTAACGTACTTTAACTTGATTCTTATTTTGGGTAACGTACTTTTAAAACTTCCATTTTGCTACCTAAGATGTAAAGTTTTAAACATTTAAGTGTCCAGAAAACCAGTTGAAGCATTAAACGGTTACCATGTTGATGTGGCGAATGATGTGGTATCCAACTCAGTATTATTTGCTATTCAACTTAATTTCATCTCATCACTCGCCACATCAGCATGGTAACCGGTTAATGTTTCAGCCGGTTACCAGGATACTTAAATGTTTAAGACCTTACATCTTAGGTACCGAAATGAGAATTTTAAAACTACATTATCCAAAACAAGAATCAAGTTAAAATATGTTACTTTTTCATGCAATTTGTCTTTTACAAAAATTAGGAAGATTTGTTGTGAAAGAATTATTAATTCACTTATTATTATTTCATTTTATAAATTTAAATATTTTTATTAAATGGGATATTATTAAACATTTTTTATTATTTTAAAATCCTAAAAAAAGAAAAGGAAAATGGTGACGTGGCGTTGGGAACTTGGGATCCCATGAAAGACCCGCATGTTCTTTCTTACAATTCATTTTTGTCTCCATGCTTTAATTATTTATTCTTCTGGTTTTATTATTTAATATAAATTTATTATTTTATTTATGTTTTTATTCGTTTTGGCCCTTTTTATTTATAATGATTAGAAAAACTTTGCTAACTGAAGGGTAAATCGGTCATTTTTTAGAATTCATTTCATTTGTCTGGTTAAGATTATGTTTATTTATAAATAAACGTCAGTTAACCCATCTGTACTCTAACCCCACGTCGTTTCTGTGAAACGTCACCATCTCCAACCGGCAACTCAGGCGAAACTCTAATTTTCCAACGAGCAAATCTTCGACAAGAGAGACACCGTGCGATCTTCACCTCCAGTGGTCAAAAGTATCAGGAGGTCTCAAGTTCAAATCCAATGAAGAATAAGAATCATCTTGTGGCCACGAAGATTCAAATGCGGTGACTCCGGGCTATCTGCAAAGCAGGTGGTCGTCCTGAGATTAGTCGGCTCGCATAGCGGATTGAATATCTAAGTTAATAAAAAAAGCACTTTGGCAGCTCTTGATTATCCATTCTCATCGACAAATAAACTGTTTAATATGAATCACTGATAACATTTTTTCCCCGTTAAATTGTTATTATTTTCATTATTTCATTATTCAAAATTTATAAATTCACACTGTGTTGTATCCGGCTGCATGTTCTTGTTAGTGGATTATGGTCGGTTATTTGTCTTCTATTTGTTGGGTGTTCGCTGTTGGTTTTTCTTGGGTTTCAGTTATGATCTACCTTCTTTCTATGTCTTGTAGATGGTGGGTTGGGTTTGTTCTTGGCTGGTTTTAATATATTGTTGTCTTTCCAAATTCAACATGTAACTCAGTAAAAAGGTTGAATGATTTTGCTCAAATACAAGACAGATTCTGGGTTTGACCTAGACCCCCTGCTAGTCAAGCCGTTGAGTGAGCCTAAATGGCCATCAAATTAGTGTTTTTAGAGGCATATTTCGTGTGGGGCCGGTTGAGGTTGTCGGTAATCAACTTTTTGGATGCGATGAAATTATATTTTTCCAAAGGGTGTTAAAGGAACATTACGTAAAAGAAGAAGGACTGAAAAACAAAATATTTGACATTAAATTTCTTCAAGTTCACTCGGACACGGTTTGTGTATAACCTTCCATGTGAGTTGGGTGGGTCACTGCAGCTTCTTGCCTCTTTCCTTTCCTGAAGAACAGAATCCACATTCTCTCTCTCTCCTTCAAATCCCGGCTGTGAAGATTCCACTCTCTTTTTCTGCTCATAGAATCGGTGAGTTCTTCATTCTTCTTTCCTTTTTAAACATTCCATTTGATTCTTCTTTCATCCATGTGTTTTGTTTCAGCTTTCATTGTATCGAGGAGTATTAGCTAGAAATGGAGGGATTAGGGTTTACTTTACATGTTCATGCACTCCATCTAATGGTTTCGATTTGGTGTTTTTGTTGTTTTAAGTAGCGTTTTTGGGAGTATTGAATTGAATGGAATCGAATCAGCGGTTTGTAACTGGAATGTAGATATGCAAATCGATTTGCTTGGTTTTGAGCTCTGATTAGTTGAATTTTTGGTTGAATTTGAATTATAGGGTACGGAATTGGGATTGCTAAACAAGAGCATTAGGTAAATTTTGGGACGTTGGAATTGTAACTGGTTTTTTTAGTTCAAATTGTAGGGAGTTTTGCCTAAACTTTGATTCAGTCGATTTAATTCAAATTGGGATTTCAGGTCATGGAATTTGAGTACCTAAACTGCCATTTTGTGTAGAATTGTTTTAATTTTGCTAGTGATTATGTTTTGGATTTCATTAGGATTGATTTATGAATCAATTTCTGGCTTGCTTTAGAGCCTTAAGGTTTACAAGGTTACTTTACAATGAATAGAGATATTTGATAGGGTTTGGGTTCTCGAGATCAATCTGTTTTTATGAGACCTGCAAAGACCACAAATAACACTGACCCTTCGCAGCAAAAACACTGGACCTTCACGGGTGAAGGTACAGTGTTTTTTTACCTTTTCATAGTGTTCTGCTGTGAAAGTTTAATGTTGTTTTGGATTCTCACTATTCTTACAAAAATAGTGTTGTCTCACATGATCCCAAGGGCTTATTTGTTAGCAGCATAATAAGCTTAATAGGACTCACAGTTTACTCGGTCTGCTATATATGACTATTTGGTAGTGTCTTAATATATGACTGTTTGGTAGTGGCTTAATATATGACTGTTTGGTAGTGGCTTAATGAAATAGAAAGTGACTTCACAGTAAACTTCTAGAGGAAGCTTTATACAGAAAGCCAAGTTTTTTTTCCAAATTTGCCACTCCCAATTAAAAAACACGCTCTTTTCATCTATGAAATAACTCTCTCAAACAAAAACTTTCCGATCTATACATTCCAATTAATCCACACAAACAGTTTTATCCATACAGGACTTAATGGAAAACCAACCAAACAGGCCGCAAGTCATATTTATCATTGAGGAAAAGAGAGCAACAATTAACAAGATGAATAATGGAAAACTATGAAGCAATATACTTATTCCATTACATAAATGAGAATCAATGCCTGAACTTCTAATTCAAACTCAGAATTAAACTAGATTCCTTTACTTTTTTAACCACTAGTTTTTCATAATTGTTGCAGTGATTAGATGCTTCGATCTTTTCATTGGGTTTTTTTTCCTCAAATGTAAACAAATCTAACCATGTTGAAGTTGTACAGACAATCTATTGACTTTCAAGAGTCAAGATTGGATTTTGTTACCTAATATATACTTGGAGGCTGTTTGGTTGGTTTTCCATTAAGTTTGTCTGTATAGATTGTGAATATTTTTTGTTTGGAAGGGTTTTCTCATAGATGGAAGGAGCGTGTTTTTAATTGGGATGAATAGGTTTGGAAAAAACTTGGCTTTCTGCATAAAGCTTCCCTCTAGAATCTTACTGAATAACCCACTTTCTATATCATCAAGCCACTACCAAATAGTCATGTATAGCTGACCGAATAAGTTGTGTCCCATTAAGTTCATTCAGCTGCTAACAAACAGACCCTAAGAGGGTGCATTGGTGTTGAGGAAGAGGTTCGGCAAAAAAAAGGGTCATTTTGGTAAGATCAAAATGAATCTTGACACAAGATAGGGTCCTTTTTGATAAATGACCCTAAATGAGTTTTCAGTTAGGAGCATAACGTTATGATTTCTTTTAGCTCAATGACCTTCGTTTCAAAACGGTCTGCCCCAAGATACATTAGAGGGTCATTTTGCAAAACGAACTTATGGAAAAGGTCATTGATTTAAATAGCCCCAAGATAAAACTATTAGAAAGCATGTTATCAAGTAGGGTTTCAAAAAGTATAAATGAATCAAGATTGCAATGTGGTGTGTCATAGAAGTGTTTTATGATTCCACAATTGTCCTTTACTCCTATTGTATTTTAGTCCCTCTTGTAAAGTGCCATAGAAATTTTATATTTCTAATTTATTTATATATTTGAATACTACATTTTAGTTGGTTTTTCCATAATATGATATACTTCCTGATGTAACTTGTAGTGGGTGCAAAAAGAGTATTTCCTCTCATGCATGCATTTGAAGATTACTTTTTTTGAATCCATTTATTTTGAGATTGCTAGCTTTTCTAGATATGCCAATTAGGGTGCGTTTGGTACACTGGACATGACAAAATAGGGATCATTGTTTCATGTTTGGCAGGATTTTTATGTGGAGTAGACAGGAACAGAGTGGAACAGTCGTGTTCCACCCCCACCCCATGAAACAAGGTGGAACAGACTTATATTTTACCAATATAAAAAAACCTAATTCTCTTCTAAAACATCAAACGACTCTGTCTTTACATTTTATTCATTCTTTAAATTTTGTTTATTGTATTTTATGCTCTTTAAACTTTTACTTTACTGTCCTCAAAATATTATTTTTATACGGTCTCTATATTCTGGTTAATTTATGTAATTTATTAAATATTAATAATAAAAAAATATAGAAGAGGTATGGAATGAAGATCGGAAACTATATAAACTTTTATTTTGGTGTCATTTTAATCGTCTTGACGAATAATTTTTAATGATATATTTTGTTATAAAAATATTTATTTTATTATAATTTAATAAATTATATAAATTACTCAAAATATAGAAATAATATAAACAACTCATTAGGGGTAAATTGGTCATTTTATCAGTCCTGCCTTATTTGGTCTTGTCTTACCAAACGCTAAACAATTGTCCTATCTTGTTGTATTCTTTCCTATTCTATTGAGTCATGTATGGATACCATATGCACCCCTAGGGACAAAGTACAGAACAAAAACCTGTTGTCCTACGGCAAAATTAGGAAGATGGGACAAGATTGACTAGTTACTAAACTATCCATGTCAAAGACCTTGTACAATTCTTTCACCCGCCTACGTCATCCTCGTCCGTCCAGTACCATCCAGTCATGTCCAGTGTTGTTTGCTTACCAAATGCAGACCGTAACTTTTGAGACTGCTTTTTTTGATTGTTACCATCTTTATCTTGATTCAGAATAAAAAACAACAGCTATTCGGCTCGGCTGCAAGAGCTATATTTCAAATATTCTTGAATTGCAGCCATGGTGGCCGATTCATGGTTTCACGGTCTATGGAAACCTTCAAGGAAGCACGATTTTGGGCCGGAAAAGGTGCGGATTGGAGTGTTGGTGTTTGAAGTAGCAAGTGTAATGTCTAAGTTAGTCCATCAATGGAATTCACTTACCGATAAGCAAGTCATGAAGTTGAGAGATGAGATCAGTAGCTCGGTGGGTATCAAGAAGCTCGTATCTGATGATGATGATTATATAGTCGATTTAATTTGCGCCGAGATGTTACACAACTTGAAAAATTCGGCAAGAATCGTGACCAGGCTTGCAAGAAAATGTAGGGATCCCATTCTAAAATGCTTCGAGCTTGCATATGATGATTTAGTCAAATCTGGTGTCGATCAGTACCAGTGGCAGTTTTCTTGGAAGAAGATGAACAGAAAAGTTAGAAAGATGGAAGCTTTCGTGTTGGTTAACGCGAATTTGTATCAAGAAATGGAAAATCTTGCGGAGATTGAACAAATCTTGAGAAGAATGAAGAGTAACGATGATCATGATAGCATAACGGTGGTTGATTATACAAAAAAGTCGAACCGAAAGCAGCAAGAAGTTAAGCGGCTGAAAGATATCTCGTTGTGGAACAGGACCCATGATTATGTGGTTCTCCTCCTTGCGAGATCCATTTTCACCATTTTCGGTAGGATTGGATACGTGTTTGGAATCAATCACGTGTTACCTCGAGTTGAAGAATCTTCGTTACTAGATTCTGAACGGAATCATTCCCTATCTGCATTGCTTCACTCTTCGATTCACCTGTCTGAGAATAGGATCACGAGATTCTCTTCCGGTCCTTTGGGGAACATTAGTACCAAATCTGGCCCGACTTCGAGAACGAATAACGTGAACAAATACCATTCTGGTCCTATCGATAATTCAATCACGGTTTCTGGTTCTGTTTCTAGTAAACATAGAAATATCACCTCTTTTTCGGGACCATTAGTTCGCGCTGCTAGAACCGGGATGAAATGGTGGCATACCCGTGATAATTATTCATCAAAAATCCACGGAAAGACCCCTACCCCCAATCGATTGAGTACTAGCGGACCTTTCAGAGGATGCATGATGGGCGGAAATGGTTCTCCGATGAAGAACCACCATCTAAATCCAGTTGCCGCTTGTTCTGCAGCTAGGTGGAGGACCGAAGAAACTTCGAATCGTAGCTCAAAACAGAAAGGTTTTAATCCTCCTCCGGGAACTCTCGGAGCAGTTGCTTTAGCCCTACATTACGCTAATGTGATCATCGTGCTCGAAAAGCTAGTGGCTTCTCCGCACTTGATTGGGCACGACGCAAGAGACGATCTCTACAACATGTTGCCAAAAACCATAAGAACCGGTCTTAGGGTGCGGTTAAAACCGTATGCCAAGAGCTTGGGTTCGTCGGTTTACGATACGGGTCTTGCGGAAGAATGGACCGAAGCTATGTTGGGGATTCTCGATTGGTTATCTCCGCTTGCTCATGACACGATAAGATGGCAATCCGAAAGGAGTTTCGAGCACCAAAATCTGCTTTCCAGAACTCATATTCTTCTTGTACAAACTCTCTACTATGCAAATCAAGAGAAGACTGAAGCAACAATCACTGAGCTTCTGATTGGTCTTAACTACATATGGAGGTTCAGTAGGGAAATCACTGCTAAAGCTTTGTTGGAGTGCGAGAATGGGGCCGGTGATTCTCTAAACGTGGTGTAGCGGCGGCGGTTTCGGCTTCGGCTTCGGGTTTCTAACATGATGAAAGTTCAAATGAGGACCGTAAATATTTTGAGAATTTGGAAACCAACTATTTCATGCGTCATTCATGATGAATAATCATGAATATATTCATCGAATGTCTTGCACATTCATTGTGAATGTCTTGCAGATTCATCAAGAATAAAACATGAATAGTTTGTTCGCAGGTTCTCAAAATATTTACGGTTCTCATCTACACCTGCTCCTGACAAAGAGTTCCCTTTTGCTTAGGTACATGTTTCAGGGGCGGTTAAGGAGTAGGGGTCCAGCACCCTCAACCGTTTGTGGTTGGTCTGGACCCGGTGCAAAATCTCCAAGCCCTGTTCTTCGGAAGATGTTTTGATCCTTGAAATGTTAAAAGGTACGCTTAAAAAGTCCGTAATTTTTGTTGAAGGACGTAAGACTTAACGTGGTGTATGCGTGTTCGGTGGTCGTCATATGGTAGATGTATACTCGACCATCGAAATTTGTAGTGATTAGAAGGTGTTTTTACTAAATATAAGGTGTTTTAGATCAAGTGTTATGATGCCCGGATTAACCATTAATTCATGTTCGACTGCGTATACTATTTTATGTATTATTCATAATGAATAACCCTAAATAATCATTAATATTATACAGTTTTATAAATGTATACATTTTCATTATTATAATTATCATAATGAATATCTATCAAGATATGCATCATGAATAAAGCCTGAATGATTGGTTTTCATGAATATTTTGTTTTCTTGTTTTTAAAATATTTATGGTTCTCGTCTGAATGTCAATCCAGTCCGAAATATTCTTTCATTAGGGGTGTCTCTTGTTTTTGTAGAGGCGTCGGTTAAATACAAAAGACTCGGATACAATTTGGGTACCCGTGTAACGGCAGTCAAATCATGACTTGGGTGCAGACATTGGAGAACCGAATATCTGCTAATAACCTTTGGCCTCTTCAGGGGTTTAAAGATATGGATTTATTTATTGCATTTGTTGTATATAAATACTATATAGTTAAAAAAACATACAAGAAATACCTGGTTGGAACCAATCGCGAATGGGTGAAGGTGAAGTGGACTGCATGCGCGGTGGTCATGTTAAGCGGTTAAGTTTATAAATCCATGTATGCTGATATTCTCTACTTTGAATGACCGTTAGTCTCCCAAGATAACACCCATATCGGACCTATTAAGCTCGAGTGGGATCTCATGCATCCCTTTAACTTATTTTTGTAAGTACAAATTTTTGTAAGGTATGAAAGATGCATCTGTTAAACTTTGAAGGGTGCTATGAGATATTAGAAAATACAAGTAAACCAAAAAGCCAAAAAAGTTTATATAGTTTTATAAATGTTAAACCGAAAAAAATCCCTCCAATAAACCAAAAAGCCAAAAAGTTTGTTGAAGTCAACCAAAAAACTGGGAAAAAAAAACTTTCGAGACCAATCAAAAAACTTAAAAAATCGCATGAAACGATGGAATTCCGCTAAAAACACGTCAGACAACTTTGCGAGGCTTTGATCCACTATAAAGAGGCACCTGCTCCGCAAAAATTCTAGGTCCGCCACGGTACACACCATAAAATTCGTTATATCCTGATTAATGAAACATATGTAACTTACGAATATAGCTACGCCAAGACGGAGATTTGAATCCTCAAAATTAAAAGTGAGTCGAAAGTCATAATGTCATAATCTGCTTGTTTATCGTGAATTTGTGATCGTGTATGGGATCAAATGAGTTGATCAAATTCAAAATCATAAGGATCCATCAAAATTAGAAAATTCCATATATGATATTTTAGAATTTTAGAACTATTAAGAGATATTTTTTTTTGTCAAATAAGATTTACCTCTTAACGATTTAAAGGTTGCCTCTTAATGAAACTGTTAAGAGGTAAACAAACAACCCGTAATCCTATAAGACTCTGTAAAATTATTATATTTTTTGTATGGAAAAAAAGGTAAAATAAAATAAAAGTCTACGAAATAATGTTTATATTATTTTTGACGAAAAAAGAGAATAAGATGAGTAATTTAGAAGTGTAAGGGGCTAATTTGACACTTTAACATAGATTCAGGGGGTCAAAATGAAACTATAACAAAAAGTGGAATACAGTTCACATTTTAACGGAAGCGTTACAGATATGTGACGGAAAATCCCTAACGGCACGAAACGGCTGAACCAACAACCTCAATAACGCTTTAACGATCCGTTAACGTTGTCTGTCTATTTTCTCCTCTCGTCGGAGGGATCGGAAACCCTAACCCCAAATTATTCTTTTTTCTTCCTACAATGGCTTCATCAACAAACGTCGAATCGCCTCCGATCGGCGAAGGGAGTAACAACGTTAACAACAGCGAGACACCGGCCACCGCCGCAGCGGTAAATTCTCCCGCCACAACCGCCGCCGCGGTAAATTCGCCCACCACCCCTGCCGCCGTGAATTCTCCTGGCACGGCTGAAGACGTAACGAAAACTAGTGAAATCACTCCGAATGGAAGGCGGAGTAAGAAACAGAAACTCGACTCCAGCACAGGTGGAGATCACCGGAGGGAGCGGGAGGAGTGGAGTGATACTGCTATTGCGATCCTCTTGGACTCGTACACGGAGAAATTCATGGCGTTGAATCGGAGTAATTTGCGAGGTAAAGATTGGGAAGTGGTGGCGGAATTGGTTGCCGAGAGTGGCGATAAACAACCACGAAAGAGTATCGAGCAGTGTAAGAACAAAATCGATAATTTGAAGAAAAGGTATAAGCTCGAGACTCAGAGAATGGAGATCAATGGTAGTGCTAGTAGCTGGGTTTGGTTCAAGAAAATGGACATAGTATTTGGGAGTTTAATGGGGCCCAAGAGCGGAGCAGGAACAGGAGCAACATCCGATGATGATAAGTCCGTCGGAGCTTCCTCCCCTCATAGACTAAGACGTTCTGCAAGGTTTGTGCTTAATGATTCAGTTTTTGGTTTAGAATTCTCATTATAGTTTGTTATTGAGCCATTATGCTGCATTGTGCTTTTCATGTTGAAAGGATTGTTGCAAGTACTGAATGGTAACTTCTTCTTTGGCCAGATTGTCTAATGACACCTTTAGCATATAATACGAGTTCTTTGACACTTTTAGCATATAACACTTTGTGGATAAAGTTGCCGGTATGGATTAATCTGTCAGTATAGATCGGGAAGGCTTTTGTTCGGAAGAGTTTTTCATAAATGGAAGGAGCGTGTTTGAAAAAAAAAACTTGGTTTTTTGCATAAAGCTCCCCCTAGAAGCTTAATGAATAAGTCACTTTCCATATCATTAAGCCACTACCAAACAATCATGTATAGCTGACCAAATAAGCTGCGAGTCCCATTAAGCTCAGTAAGCTGCTAACAAACAGGTCCTTAGCTGCTTTAAGCAGGTGATACACTTTTGGTTTGGTTATTGGGCTACAATATGTAATCAAGTGCATCCCAATTGGGTGTGGTTATATGCATATCTATTAACTTGTTTGCTTTCTAGTGTTTTGCCCATTGTCATATATTCTTACAGTTATGCTGTTTTAGCCAGTTAGATTGCAAGCACATGCTTAAGATATTTGTGTTTTCCCTGTTATAATTTTTCTCAGCTACAGGGATTCAAGGTTGATCCCCCCCCCCCCCAAAAAAAAACTCCATCTTCATGTTCAAATGAGGTTCTAAAACTTAGTCTACCTGAGAAAATAGTTGCTGACATGAGCATCGGGAGGTTTCGATAGTTTCAGTGCTGTTTCTTAGTGTTTGAGATGAGGGTTTGATTTAATTTTCTTCCTTGACAGGAGAAATCCTCTTTAAACGTAAGCTGTATTTGTTATACTCTTAACAGATTACCTTGTTTTTGTATGTGGGTCAGTGGGTATGCTGATGTGAAAATGCTGTAACAATCTTGGATTACTTATGTTAACAACCGTAGACCCTTGGATCCCATTTGGAAGTTACGCAAGCGTAGTGAATTGTTATCTGATCCTTCCACCCAAAAAAGGCAACTCTTAGAAGTTGATTTCAGTGCAGTCAAAAAATGCTGCTAACTTAAGGATGTGCTAGATAATGATTTGAGTACTGGATTTCATTGGTTAACAAGAGGTGACCTGTAACCAAAGGGTCTTTGGCCCAATGGTACCCGGGTTAGCGGTATAGCCCAGCCTCCTAGAAGGTCAAGGGTTCAAACCTCTCACCAAACTTGAGGAGTGTGTGTGACTATTTGTTATACATAGTTATTATATACTTAAAAAGAAGAGGTAACCTGTAGGTTGATAACTATAATGTGGTGTGGTCTTTACAGGTGTTCAGTTCTATGGCACATTTTGAGGTTTTCATCTTATCTGTTGAATGTTGCACCTTTGTTCATTAAGGATTGTTTTGTTACATACTTATATGCCTCACATTGACTATAAAGCCATGAAAGAGCTGAAAGCCTGAAACGAATGACACATTGCTGTTATTTCTCTCCTATATAACATAAATTGAATTAATACATTGGAGTACGTTTAAATCTTTCAAGATATCTTCTTCTATTAAGTGATGTTAAGGTTAAGATGTACATATGTGCTATATATTGTGGTGGCATGTTTTTCTGTGTCTCTTTGTAATTGAAAACTACAATTACTTAAATGACTTTGATAAAGGGCTATTGCTCTGTACAGAATACTATTAATGTTTCTATCAAATCATCTGTCCTGTGTTCTTATATATGATGTATATGTTTAAAGGCTTGCCCCCACCAGTGCTCCTGTTCGAAGCAACTTCAAAACAACCACAAACATAAAATGGAAAAGGGTGGTCTTTAAAGTGAGTGGCACCGCATTGGCTGGAAGCGGTCAGAGTATTGACCCAAAGGTTCGAGTTTCTCTTTGCTCTTTGACTTCATGTATTGGTTGGATATTGGGTAAATCAGTTTTTGTTAATTTCCATATGCAATCTACCTGCTAAACTTGATCCATCTACACTTAGGTAGCTTTGCAGATTGCAGAAGAAGTGGCAACAGCGTCCCGGGATGGTGTGGAGGTACTTTCTTTTTTCTTTTCTGTTCCTTCCTCTAAACAATACCATATGGTTATTGGTTTTGTCAACTCTATTCTCAATGTTCTTTCCTTTTTTTAGAAGGGTGTCCCAGGGTATGCCTGGACTAATACCGGCAAATTGTGACTGCAAGAAATAATCCCTGATAAACTCAGTGGCGACAATTGCTGTGTACGCCTGGAATCAAACCCTGGGCAAATGGGATATTCCACCACATTCCCCAGGACCTCAACCACTATGCTACAACCCTTGTGGTTTGGATGTTCTTTCTTTACATAAGATGTTTACCACTTGTGATTTGTAGGTGGCTATTATCATTGGAGGTCGTAACTTCTTTTGTGGCGATTCTTGGGTATCAGCAACTGATTTAGATAGGCCTACAGCTTACCAGATTGGGTAATTATTTTCCCTGATACTCATACCTACTTATGCCTGTCTTAAGGCCTTCTTGTTTCCACTTGTTGTTCATGTTCTTATATGATATTCCTCTTTCATATTGCATTTTGTTGCTACTAGCTTAGTCGACTTCCTGCAAATCTCTCTCTTTGAACTTCTACTTTAAGATGCATGTACATCTTGTTCAATCTGGGATAAATTGCATCAAAATGCAACAAAGTTTTGTTTAGTTCCTATTTAGTGTAACGAGGAATCTTTTTTCTCAATAGATGGAACAAAGTTTCAAAATTTCTTATTTCGTACCCATTTCGTTAGCTTGGTGATCTTGTAACATTTGATGACATGGATACCCGTTATTAAAGGTTTACGACGAAATGGATGATAAAGTTGGCATCCACGTCATCAAATGTTAAAAGATAAGCAGCTTACTAGGTCATAATGGGTAAAAAGTAGGAAGTTTTATTACTTTGCACATTAATAGGAAAATTTTGAAACTTTATCACATTGATTGGAAAAAAAATTATTTGTTACACTAAACAGTAACTAAGGCAATCTTTGTTGCATTTTGTCCTTTTATGTTCATCTAAGTAATAATTTAGCATAAAATTTTCTTTTCTAATAATTGTACTTATATGATGGATCCTCTTACCTACTCCTTTACTAGTTTCCAAAATGGGTTTTTGAGAGATTGCGATTAACATATACATGTCCGTTATATTATAACACCTCCATCCCACAAAAAATAGTCCACATTTGGCTTTTGTACATCAAATATAATCTTTCAACCTCAGAATTGACAAGATTCTTTTTATGTGTAGAAAAGATTGATTACTAGATACAGTTGATCGAACTAGAACAGAATCATTCTGGAGATGAGAATCTAAATAAACTGAATTTAGAATTTTAGAAATAGAAAAATAGAGAAGTAGAGCGTTTCAACTTTCAATATGCAAAACCATAAGTGGACTTATTTCTCGGGGTAGCAGGAGTGAAAGTTATCATTTTGGAGCACTGTATCAAACTAATATCGGTAAAATGTTTCCCCTAGCATTCTTGAGATTAGCTTATGCATTATCCCATGTTCTACTGATCATTTGTACATTTGTATGTTTCATGTTTAAAACAAACCTTTTCCTTTTAAGTATATAATGGGGAGGTTCAGGGGAAAACCCCTAAAAAACGATAAATTGAGGAATACCCTGATAATCATTCATCTTGATGGTGTGCACATGTGCATGTAAGTAATTGAAGTTGTTTCTTGGTTTTTATGCACGTTTGCATGTTATGCACATGTGCATACTTCACATACTGCTTACAAATTACTTGTATGCACATGTGCATACTTTCCAAATGAATAATTACCAGGGTGTTCCTCAGTTTTTCATTTTTTTACGGTTTTCCCAGAACCTGGCCCTATATATACACGACAAATACTCACGTACACTCCTCACTTTTAATGAGGTTTGAATCCTTTGTGCTTTACTGGTAACCCGGGTACCCCCGAACCATTACTAGTAGCTTCTGATCTTCTATCGTGATTTTTGCAGCATGATGGCGACGGTCATGAACTCTGTATTGCTACAATCAGCTCTAGAGAAGTTGGGTATTCAAACCCGTGTGCAAAGTGCTTTTTTGATGCCAGAGATTGCGGAACCATATAACAGGCTACGTGCTATGCGCCATCTTGACAAAGGAAGAGTTGTCATCTTTGGTGGCGTTGGGGCTGGCACCGGGAACCCACTCTTCACAACCGATACAGCGGCAGCTTTAAGAGCTTCCGAGAGTATGATCCTTGACATCTCTTGTTTATTTATGGTTCTTTTGGAACATGGGACAATATAAGACAAGACAGAACAAAAACTTGTCATCTTGTCCCACATTTGGTGCGACAATTAGACTGGGACCAGACGGGACTGAGTAGGACAAAAATGCAATTTTTTCTGTCTCACCATCAAAAATCAGAACTGAGTAATGGACAAGCTTGATAAATTACTGAACTATACTTGTCAAATAAAACCTTAAAACGCTTCACAATTATTTCACCTGTTTACCTCACTCTCGCATGTCTAGTCCAGTTTGCATTATGTACCAAACACACCCTCAATGTGTGTTTGGTATCCAGAAAGGATAGGACATGACAGAACAGGATTGAACAGTTGTCCATGTTTGATAAGACAAAATTGGAAAGGACGAGACTAGATAAAATGACCAATTTACCCGTAATGAATTGTTTATATATTTTGATTAATTTATGTAATTTGTTAAGTTATAGAAAAATAAATATTTTTTATAACAAAATATATTATTAGAAAGTTTTTGTCAAGACGATTAAAATGACACCAACATAAAAAGTTTATGTAGTTTCCGGCTTTTATTTTATACCTTTTCTATATTATTATTTTTATTATTAATATTTGATAAATTACATAAATTAATCAAAACTTAGAAACCGCACAAAAAATATTTTGAGGACAGGAAAGTGAAAGTTTAAAGAGCATAAAATACAATAAATAGAATTTAAAGAATGAATAAAATGTAAAAAGGGAGGCGTATTTGATGTTTTAGGAGAGAGTTAGGTTTTATTTTTAGGTTATATTGGTAAAATATAGGTTTGTTCCACCTTCTTCCATGGTTGGGGTTGAACACTTCTGTTCCACTTTGTTCTTGTCTGTTCCATATAAAAGTCCTGCCAAATGTGGAATACTGATTCTTGTTTTTTGTCTAGTCAGTCTAGTGTACCAGTTGCATCCCTAAGGTCCCAATCGTTATCACGTCACTTTTCCAGCGATCTTAGCCATTTATAACCGATTTTTCTCACATCACCAGTCAATGAAATGGATTTCTAGTTTCTATTTTTGAAGAAATAGAATCCAATTATTAAAGAGAGAGCGTGCGTTGAGCCTTTAAATTTCATAATATTGCTTTCTTTTCCATTTGTTTTTTTCTCTCATTTCTTTTGCTCAATTCTTTCCATTTTGTTTCTGATCAAAATGTCTTCTTTTGTTGTTGGGCAGTCAATGCAGATGCCGTTATTAAAGGTACAAACGTAAATGGTATCTGCGATAAACACAAAGTCCCACTGGATCAAATATCCTTTCGTGATGCCGTCTCGAGAGATTGTGGTTCCATGGATTTGATGGCAATACAATTCTGCGAAGAGAACTCAATCCCTGGTTAGTTTATTCTTCAAAAACCATGCAATCTATTTGTCCCGCTATGTAGTTGATATTAGAGATACAGAAAGCCCGAGCTTTCCAAGCCCGTTTTTAGTGAGCAAAAAAGGTCCGGGATTGGGGTTGAAATAGGGCCTGATCGGGCTTTTTCAGACTTAACCAGGCTTTTTTGGGTCAGGCCTAAACCCAGGCTGCCCCCAAAAATTCAGCTGGTCAGGCTTTTGTGGTCTGGCTCAGACTGGGCTTGGGGGTCACTAGGCGCGGGCTTTTTCAGGCCAGGTTTTGGGCTCGGGCTTTTTCGCGCATCTCTAGCTAAGATTCAATTAGTGATTAGTAACATGATAATCATGTAGTTGATACTCCCTGTGTCCCAAAAGAAACGTCTACAACGAAAAAAGGCGGCACATTTTATAAATGTGTACTTATTACACTTTTTAATTAACAAAATGACAATTTTACCCTTACTAATGAAATGAGTAATGAATTTTTCCATCTCATAATTAAGGGTAGAATTAAGAAAGTACACACTTACAAGACGTACAGAACAAATACTTTAGGGTGCATTTGATATCCAGACAGGAAATGACAGAATAATTGTTCATTGTTTGGTAAGACAAAATTGGACATGACAGAACATATAAAATGACCAATTTACCGCAAATGAGTTGTTTATATTTTTTTGTATATTTTGATTAATTTATTTAACTTATTAAAAGTATAATAAAATGAATATTTTTATAACAAAATATATCATTAGAAAGTTTTCATCAAGATGATTAAAATGACACAAAAAAATAAAAAGTTTATTTCGTTTCTTATTTTTATTTTATACCTTTTCTATATTGTCCTTTATTATGTAGAAACTTTATCAACATGATATTTTAAGGACAGTTAGTGAAAGATTAAAAAGCATAAAATACAATAAATAAAATTTAAATAACGAATAAAATGTAAAGAGGGAGGCATATTTGATGTTTTAGAAGAGAATTAGGTTTTAATTTTTATGTTATATTGATAAAATATAGGTATGTTTCACCTTGTTTCCATGGGGTGGGGGTGGAACACGTCTTTTCCACTTTGTTCCACATAAAAATCCTGTCAAACGTGGAACACTTTTCCTGTCCTGTCCAGTGTACTAAACGCACCCTTACGGGATAAACTAAATCGAAATGTTAACACTTATTTTGGGATCGAGGGAATATTAGATTAGTATGATAATCCAATCTTACAACTATGACTAGGTTCCAATAAACATAAAAAAAAGATGCATTTTTCACTACTTTTCACTTTATTATATCTTTTTTTTTCCCATTCATAGTTGTCATATTTAACATGCTGGAACGCGGGAACGTTGCGAAAGCGTTGACCGGAGGACAAGTCGGCACGTTGATTGATCAGTAACGGCCGAATCTGGAAAAACCCGTTTCATGCTTTGTGTGGACTACATGAAGTGTTAATATTCTCTTCGCGGGTAATTAAAAATAGGCTTAAAATATGTTAGTTTCGAGCATTAAACCTCGTGTTAAATCCTCTAGATCTAATGCTCCCGGCACCCTGCCACCACCGGAGCCTTTTTATCTTGTACATTAGTGTCGTCGGATTCTAATAAAAGAAAATTGTAGCAACAGTTTTAGAAGGGTGAATGTTAGCAACCCCATTGTTAGTGTGATTGTAGTTTAACTGCTTGGAGTCAGAGGTCAGGTATGCGTACATCTTTATCCCCAGTGTGATATACTGGTTGGTTTGGTTTTATTGTAGTTTTAACTTGTTGGGTGAGTTTTTGAATGGAACTAGTTTGAGGTAATTGTAAATCTTGTTTTGAAATATGCGGTTTTTTAACTCATTAGTGGATTATCATTTTGATTTAATTTTTATACTGCAAATAGTGCTTTCTGCGTTCTAAAATAAATGTCCATATTGTTATACTTTTTAGTTTACTAAAAGACGATTTTACCCTTGATAATAGAGAAATAAATTTTCTCCATCATATGGTTTCTAGGGTAAAATGAGAAAGTAGACATTTGGGGGTTGTTTATCAAATGCTTACCCTGATAAGCATTTTTCAAGTCACATTATCTTACCTGATGAATGTGACAAGGATCAAGAATCTTATCATGTAAGAACGAAGACAGGAATTGAGAGTCTTACCTGGTAAGTGAGGATGACAACTTTTACTACGGTTAGCGCTTATCGGGTAAATTGTTTCAATGCCCATTATGTGGATTAAAATCTTACCCAGTAAGTGAATGATACCATTGAATTTTATCGGTAAACGCTTACCGGGTAAGTGTTTGGTAAACGGTCCTTTGTTTAGGTACTAATCAGACTCTAAAGATTGTCTATTTTATATTGTAAATACTCTAACTTGATAAAATCATATATAGATTTTACAAACAGTCTCTCTTCAAGAAAAGCATTTCAATATTTAATAATTAATCATAAAAATTTCTTAAATTATGGGTGGGTATTATATATGGTTTAAAACTCAGGAAATATAGTGGAAATCTCATCTTTTCTGGGTTCGAATTCAGAAACTGTCAAAACCCTTGTGGTCATAAAGGTTCATCTGAGATGACTCCAGGACAGTCATGATCGCCTAAGGAATTACTCAATACGTGTAAGCTAACACAGATACCCATAATTACCAAACAAATACCCGTAATTAAAAAAAAACCATCATCCTCCTCACATTTGTTGAGATTTGAACCCCTAACCTCCTAGAAGGATAGAGACTACGATACCGTTAGGTCAAAGGCCCTTTCGTATGTGAGGTTTTTTGTTCACGTCTTTTAATCCAAATTTATCAAAAACATAATAAACCTGAAATTAAAAGCTAAAAACTCAAAAAAGATTATACAAATGGGATTTGAACCCGCTCCTGGAAGGAGAGAAGACCATGCGAACTAACTCTGCCAACAAAAGCTTACGCTATTATTGTAGTTTCAAGAAATATATGTGTTTACACCCAACAAAATAACACGGTGACACCTTTGACGATACTAATTTTTTTTTATAGTTTTCCATGTGTACGCAAGAACTCAACCTGGTAAATGCAAAGAAAAAACACAGAAAATAATCAAGAAACACACAACATTGGTTCCATCTATCAAAAGAGAAATCAAAGTTAAAAGAATCCATATGCAAAAAAGGAAAACAATTCTAACCTTTAGTGATGTTTGAACCTTGACCTGCGGATATCGTTGAGCCAACGACTATTTGGTAACATAATGTGTGGCAACTCTCATTCAACGATTTTGAGTCTCGAACCAGGGAATCATCATCTTGGGAGGAACTCCGAATTGTCGCCTTGTGGGAGAAGAGTGAGAGCTATTAATAGTTGAATCATCGTCTGGCTAGACTTGGACCTTATCTCCTCAATATATATTGGAACCTCCCTTCTCTATCTGATGCGGTTCCACATATTTTTCAGTATTAGTGAAAGCAACAGGCTGGCCTAATAACTTCGAATCCAACTTAAAACCATGGTGGAAGTTATTGGTGCCACGATTTGGGGTTTATAAGAAGCAAAATGACGTCCTTGTCAAGCCTACCCAAAATCTTCCTCCTTGTAATCAGCGATGTGTGATTCGCCTAAGATGCCATTACTAATGTCCCAAAGCAACCGGTTGGCTCAATAACTTCAAATCCAGCTAAAAGTCATAGGGAAGTTATTAGTAGCCCATAACTTGAAGCTTATAAGGAGCTTACAGATCTCACTTCTTATACATGTGGGACGAGTTGTTACAAAAACTATATTGGGTTTGTTTAGTTTGGTTTATCACATACATCAACTCGGGAATAATTGTCGAATGGTGCTGTCTAAATCTCCATTCCACACTAGTAAACCGTAGCCGATCTCAACTGCATTTAGCTTAGGAATAACCTGGAGCACCGAAGAGAACGTTTTTAAGCTTGGGCAGTCCTCTAAAGCCAATATTTGAAGGCTTGGCCATTCAAAAGTGCGATGCCCAGATAAAAAACTTGCAAGTTTTGGTAGGTTTGTTAGTCGAACGGTGTGAAGTTTAGGAAGAATGACCTTTTCAACATAATCTTCTTCCGTTTGCTCTAGAACCTTCTCGAGCAAACAACATTGAGTTGCATATACTTCTTCCAGATTCTGCAGCCTCGGGAGTAAACTCGAGGGTATAAGTTTTGACAAGCTGTTGCAGTTTCTCACTTCTAGGACTCTCAGTTGACTGAACGATTCAGCTACAATATCTATATGCCATAAGGCATTTACACACTCGAGGCCATCGATCCGCAGTTTCTCCAAGCTCGGAAAAAAACCCTGTTTTTGTACATTTCATTATGTGGGTAAGTTTTATGGACTATGCAAACAAATTGTAACAGAGATCACACAGAATAGAGGCTAGAAATCACGAAACCATTCAAAAGTCTTGAACTTTTATTGGATGATGGATGTTAGCCCAGAAGCAAGTTGTGGCACCATTTGACTATAAAAAACGAAGATATGGATATTTTTTCAAAATCATCATTGGTTTGTTGTTGGTTAGTTCCTTGTTTTTTGTATCTGAGGTTCTATGTTCGAATCTTTTTATCGCAAATTTTTCCATGAACATAATAAACCTGAACTTAAAAGCTAAAGCCTAAGAGCATCTCCAACAGCTATGCTAAAATGGAGAAAAGAAGGATTTTAGCAATTTTTTGCTCCAACCGCTATGCTAACTTGTATGTTAAAATAGAGAAAAGAGGAGAGATTGTAAAAATCTCTAAATAGAGAGATTATTATTTTAATACTTCCCACCAATAATAGGTATTGAAAATAAACGTTTAGGAGAGAGAAATAATATTTTATTAAATGTAATGAATAATTTAATAATATAGTTAATGTTAGAATTGTTAAAATAGAGTAATTGTTGGAGTTGAATGTAATTTTTTTACAGATTACTTTTAATACTCTATTTTAGAGAAAATATAGCATAGTTGTTGGAAAAAGACAAATGCAAACCAACTCTACCAAGAGAAACTTCTGTTAATATTGTAGTTTCAAGGAATATACGGTTGCGCTCAAGAAAATAATACGGTGGCACCTTTCACGCCCCTAATTTTTTTTACACTACGATGGATGAACGAAAGGTTTGCCCGTGCCACCGTATGCACCATAGTGTGTCCGCCCCTGTCAGCTAGCCTGAAGTTTTTCCACACACAACAGAAATCTTATGATTCAAAAGAGGCACATTACCTTTTCCATGAAGAATGGTTGAATTGAGTTTGAGCGCTTTTCCTCTATGAACCATCCTGACCCTTCACCATTCATGCTTGAAGTTGAAATGAAGGACCCCATTTTTGAACAGTTCAAGATTCGTAGTTCTTTCAAAGAAAGCCACCTTAACACAGACGTCCTAGTACAGAAACCGATCAAATTTGGTAAATCTTCAAGCTCGATACTACATATCTTAGGGAGAATTACGTCATCTGGTTCTGATTCTCTTCCATTCTTTCCAACAATCTCTTTCACCGATAAACAAGAACCAACTTTCAGTTTGTGGAGCCGGGGTACACCTCTAGCTACGGACACTGGGAAGATGCAATCAAGAAGGTCACAACCTGCAACGTCAACAGAAGCAAGTCTCTGAAATCTATGAGTTTTGTTTGGAGTTCTATCCCACCATATTTGTCTCAACTTTGGTAGATTTTCTAAAACTAGTTCAACCAATTTGATCAGTGAAACAGAAGCATCATTTTGGTGAGTTTGTGGGTGCTTAACGGTAAAGAGTTCTTCAAGGGAACCACAATTTGTTATACGAATTACTTCCAACATCTGCAACCTTGGAAGAATATTGATTGGACCAAGATCTAATAGTTGATTGCAGTTGATGACTTTCAGGACTCGAAGTTCACTAAAGCTCTTCTCTGGAACTAGGGTATGCCATATGTCAACTAAGCCATTCAATCCATCCAAGTACAATGCTTGCAAATTAGGCAATGCAACCTACACAAGTCCATTACTTGATATTAGAAAGTAAAGGATTGGCAATCGAAGTAGCTAATATAAACGGGCAAATCCGCGCCTGTACGACATAATTTTTTTCCATTGCCCATGTCTGCCCATTAACCTTAACGGGCAAATCCGGGCTTGCCCACTTTTTTGAGAATGGTTATCCAAGTGCGTTTTTCNTTTTTCCATTGCCCATGTCTGCCCATTAACCTTAACGGGCAAATCCGGGCTTGCCCACTTTTTTGAGAATGGTTATCCAAGTGCGTTTTTCTACCGGGCCAGGTAAGAACTCTATTTGTAACGATAACAATGAACATATACATGAATTTGGAATGTAATAATTCCAAAAATAATAATGTGCATAGTTTTAGGGACAACCCAAAACAGAAAGTATTAATAGTGTAAGTTTTTATATGTCCACGACACATATGACACAGTAACACTGCCAAGGAGTATGTAAACCTTTAGGGTCGCACACGAAGAATATGTATGCTTCGATATGGCTTGGATAACAGAAACCCGAATTATGTCATGTTGATTATTAGATAGTTATTCTAGCAGAGTAACTAAAGTAAGTGGTAAAAGTGTAATTATGATAATTACAGGGTTTTAAGTGTAAATGTATTTACGTATAATTTTATTATGATTAATAAAATTAAATAAACCTTTATTTTAGGATTAATGGGCTTAAGGATAATCACAAGCCTGACCCATGTTTGCGTATTATGGTAACTCTAATAGAGTAACTATAAATAACGAGATAGGCCTAAGCCTAAAAGGTCAATTAATCTTTGAGATTTAGAGTTGTTTACCCAAACGGTTACCAGATAGACGCTTACCTGTAAGAGTACCCACTCTCGCTTACCTTACCGAGTAAGATTCTAGTCCATCAAAACGGCATCTTATGCAACAACTACCCGGTAAGTGCTTACCGGGTAAAAGTCGTCACCCTCACTTACCGGGTAAGACTCTAGGTCCTTGCCATCGCTCTTACCTGGTAAGATTATCGGTCTTTGCCATGTTCATCCAGTAAGGTAAGTGACCTAATAAGAGCTTACCGGGTAAGTGTTTGGTAAACGGCCCCTTAGTGATTATCACAGAATAACAGAAAAGAAGCCTATTCTTTCTTTCTTGTTAAACACATACTAGATTTAGGTTTTTGGGCTAGCACCCCGTGGAGGCCAAAGCATGTTCATGTGGATCTACAATAAAGGAAACCTAATTCGGCTTCTAGTGCTCTGCAAGAATCTACATCAAATCTGAAAAGGTACTATTCTAAACACCCTATGGTTTGTGTAGGTTCGTTTAAAAGTCATTGAATCCAGATAGGGTTTATTTTAGAAAAGTTTTCTAAAAAAAAAACCTTTTTTTTTGCTGCGTTTTCAAAACGGTTAATTGTTTTGAAACCCTACAAATAGTTTTCTGGGATGGAGGAGGATTATGTAGCACATACCTTATCATTGAAGAGGGGTTGCAAACTGATGCCAAGGTTCCCCTCCTGATGCATACCAGAAGAAACAAATGCTTTCATTTTCGGGCAACTTTTGATCTCAATCATCTCCAATAATGGAAACTCTAAACTAATACTCCCTTGGCAGAAACTCGACAGTTCCGGTAGATCTTCAAGGTTAACAGACCATAATTCAGACAGCAGAATGATATCATCTTCTCCTCCTTCATAGGCAAATATTGTTTTCATATTCTTACATGAGCGTACCTTCAGTTCTTGAAGTTGAACTAGACTCTTCATTGCAGGAATGGAGAAAAGATGGACCAAAGCATCACATTCGTAGATGTGCAGAGAATTCAAGTTCTGTAAGCTTGAATATGCATGAGGTTCAATGTTCCACCATAGATGTTTAAGTAGAGGCAGCTTTCCCAAGTTGAGCTCTCTAACGGAAGGCAAAGTAGCTAATTTTGCATCATTTTGGTCGACAAAATCGAGCCTGTTAAGTTCAGACAACTCTTCTACCGAATCACACCATTCTATGGAGAGTATTTCCAGATTTTGCAACATCTGTTGCATATATGATGGAAATACCAGCACTAGATTGTCGCAACCGAAAACAATCAGGATCCTCAGGCTCCGAAAGTTAGCAGCAGAAAGTTGACGTGGCCAGATCTCTTTGATGGAATGCAGTTCACGAAGAGTCAACTCTTCCAGGGCCGGAAAGTCAACCTGCAAAATATTGACACCATTGGAAAATATGGGTTTGGACAATATAGCAATTGATAGACTTTCTGAAAGTAATATTTCGACCCTTTACACTGCCTGGGGTATCACGAAATTCATTTTGGGATAATCCAAATTCGCATTCAAGATTCTAGGCTCAAATTGAGAGTAAAACACAGATTCTGTTGTGTTTTTCATATGTTCAAAATTGAGATCAAACCCTTTTATTTGAGCAGTTAATCGACTAGTGAATTTAGGCAGGTAGGTAGTTATTTGGTGATAAAAGAGTTGCCAAAATAACTACTAATGGATAAGACTGAAAAACAGTTGCACCCCCTTGGCACTGCCTGCTGATCGGTCCATGGGACCACTACAAGGGGAACTTCCCCTAGACCCCGCAACGCGGGGAAGCCCCCTTGACCCCCTGCTTTATGGCAATCTCAGGTTTAAGTTAGCTCATACAAGCGTGCACTCCACATCTCCTACCCCATATTATAGCTTAACTATAAACCCCATCAATCTCGTGTAAATCACAACTACACTAAAATGATGACACTAAAATCACCAACAATGACAAGGATGTTCTTCTTCAGTAAGGGGCTGTTTGGTTGGTTTTCTATAAAGTCCTGGATGGATAAAGTTTTTGTTTGGGATTCATAGATGGGAGGAGAGCGTTTTTTAATTGCGAAGGACATGTTTTGAAAAAAACTTGGTTTTCTGCATAAAGCTCCCCCCTAGAAGCTTAATGGATAAGCCACTTTCTATATCATTAAGCCACTAAGCTGACCGAATAAGCTGTTAGTCCCATTAAGCTCATTAAGCTGCTAAAAAGTAACTAACAGCAACATATGGCGAAAAAAGAACTTGTTACCTTTGAATTGAAAAGGGGTTCTTGTACTTCAAGACTGCCATCTGAAGCTAAACTAGCATCCGCTTCAGGGCAAAAACTTTGGAGACTTGGCAGAAACTCGAGCTTTATTGACTTTAACTTTGATAGGACAATTTGACTGAGTGAAACTGCTTGATCTTTAGCTAGTATTACTTTGAGATCTGCGCAGGAGGACACGTGTAGTTTCTGAAGCTCTGAAAGGCCACTAGCTGTGGATTGCAAAAGAAGGTCTTTGAGTTTGTGACAATCAGAAACATATAGAGTCCTTAGATTACGTAAACATACGTTTCCAAGAGGATCCATCCACAAACACGTTAATTCTGGCAAGATACTCAGCATCAATTCACGTAGCTCACAGAAGGATTGATCTGGGAGATGGTCATAACATATTGTTCTAAGATCAGCTGCAGAAACAACCTTCAACTTTTCCAAGACAGGAAAGATAGCCGTGTCAATCAGAGACTCGACCCCAGTATAACCATAAACCTCTAAACATCTCAAGTGTCTGAAACCTTTCCTCAAGTCATACACAATGCTATGCAAGTCCTCCAGATAGTTCACAATTGAGTAGTCCAAGATCAGATGTTGAGCTCCTTTCAGCAACTTATAAATCCCGCCATGTAAATTAAGACCTTGATAGAGTGCGAGTCTTAAGGTTTTTGGGTATGAGTAACTGATCACCTGGCTAACATCCATCCCTACAAAGATTTTGAATCTCACCAGATTTCCAAATAGTAGATCTGTGGGGAAAAGATTGACATCTGGGACATGCATCTCTAAGGTACTCAAGTGAGACAAGTGCTTCAGCTCAGCAACGGTTGCTTGCTTTTGACTAATATTTTGACCTTCAAACCCCCATTGGACGAAACTATTCATCATGTACAAGCATTCCAAGTTAAGCAAATTGGAGAACACGCCAAATGGAATTACTGTTAGATTCTTACAATCTGTCAGATCTAAAAGCCTCAACTGCGAGAGTTCTCCAATTGCCTTCGGCAATTTTTCAATATCTGAGTTCATGAAGCTTAGGATTTCTAGGTGCTTCAACTCTTTGATTTGTGATAAATCTCCTAACTTGCAATTTTCAAGGCACAATGTTAGGAGTTTCCTTAAAGCCAGAAATGATGAAGGCATAGATGGTATAGACACGTGATGCATAAGTACAACCTTGAGCTCTTTCATCCCATCAAAAAAATTACCTGAAAATTTCATTAACCCCATAGAACCTTCTAACCGCCACAATTGAAGCTTCGGACAGTCTATGCCAATGGGAAATTCTTCAAGATCATCCAATACAGCTGAGATTGCATAAGAAGTACTGAGCTTGTTTTGGTTAGGTGAATCTAGATATCCAGGCATCATCTTCTCCAAGAATATGTAAAGACCCCTGGAAGCGACCGAAAGGAGAAAGTCCCGAGTAACATCATGCATCCGGAAACAGTCCTCCACATCACTATCCAATAACAAACAACAAGCTTTAAGATTCTCAACGATTGTATGCACTCTGTCTCTTGCTTCTTCTAATGTATGAACACCTGGGAACACCCTTAAACCTGTTCCATATCTCACCAAATATTCTACTGGAATGTCAAGGTCTTCTTTAAACAAGCTGCATAACAAGAAGCAAGACTTTGCTTCTTCATCATTTAGAAAGTTGAAGCTCAACTCAAGTGATGCAAAGACGTTCGCATACATTCCTTTAATATCATTCGTTGTAGAACTCCTTAACTGACGAAGTGCATCGCGCCAAGCATGTTTACTCCTATGTCTTAAAGCTCGTGCAACTGTTACAATTGCAAGAGGTAATCCCGAGCATCTCTTAGCTACCTTAGTAGCTATAGGATTAAGATCCATCGAATCAACTGTATCACCCACCATGTTCCTGAACAAATTCCAAGATTCCACTTGAGATAAAATATCCATATAGAAATTTCTTTGGGTGTTCATGGCATTACATACATCTAGACTTCTTGATGTCAAGATAATCTTGCAGCCTTTATGAAGATTCCCCTGTGGGATGCCGATAGTCCTCAAGTCAAGCGGTGTCCATACATCATCCATTATAATCAAGATCCTCTTTACTTGATTCAGCCTTTCACGTAAACGAGCAGTCCTCAGAAGTTCACCTTCCTCCTTCAAATTCAAATCCAACATCTCTGCAAGATCACCTTGAAGTTTTCTCAAGTTAGGCTTGTGGGAGACCACCACCATGACTATTTCATCAAACAGCTGGAGTGCATCAGCTTGTCTGGCAACTTCTTCCACAAAAGTAGTCTTCCCTATACCACCCATACCATATACACCAATGATGTTGACACTATCATCTTCCAGTGTCTCCATTATCAATCTTAATTGGGCTTTTCTTGATTCGAAACAATCCAAATCTCCTGTGACTGTAGTGGCAGTAATACCTGTACTAGGCCATATGGGAGGTCGACGAGCAGGGTGAGAAACACGATCGAACTTTCCCCCCTCTATTAGTTCATCAGCAGCCATCCTTCTCTTCTTAGCTTGTCTACTGCTTTGGTAAATCAACTTCAGGTCAGGGCAAGTCCCACTGAGGCAACTGTGATTTTTACCAACCTCATCACTCAAAAAGTTATGGGATTCTGTTGCCAAACCATTTGCTTTAGCAAGCCAATCCTGTACAACTGGAATAACAGTTTCTCCATTCCTACCAGCTACATCCACTTGCTGTTGAACCCCAAATCGAGTGTTGTCAAGACACAAAATTTGACTTCTTAAACCATTAATGTTGGTATTATGATGGACTATATAACCAAATGGGTGTACGATCGGGCGAACCATGTATTCAAGCAGCTTTGCGAGCACAGAAACAGCAATATCTACAGCAGTCATTTCTTTCAGTGACTGTTCTTCAAAAGTACGAAAGCAGAGACTGTAATAAAAATTGGGATCATGAAATGATGGGTAGTGAATTCAAGGTGAGTTCCAGCTTACCGTTTAAAGATCAAATAGAGATGATGATGAGATGAAGAGTAATCACCTTATCGGCTTCTTTGTTCCTTCTCCTTTCGGAGAAATTGCGTCTTGTTGACTTTCTTATGAACAAAATAGACGCCGAGGGAACCGGTCTGAATCACGCCAAACCGATCTGAACCGCTTCATTTTTGAACCATATTAAACAATGTTATTAAAAGGTTAATACTTCCGTTAAGACACGGTCTCTCGATTAACTGAATTGTTAAGAACTTAATCTTGTTTGATAGAAAAAAAAAAGTTTGCCTTTATGATTTTGTATCTTGGATCTTTCTTAACCATTCAGCATCCTAATTTCATTGTAAGCAGTTATATTTTATTTTACAATATATCATGAGAGCCTTTTAAACAGTTATATCTAAGGATGCTACTTCGGGCGGGCGGGTTCTTTCCATGGGGGCGCGCATCACTTGCCCTACTTGGTCCCCCGACACAATGGAGGTTCTGTAGCATGTCATGAGCACCAGGCTATAAGGCGGTACATAGTAAAAATTTAGGTTATTGCTATATGCATTGAAATCAGATCAAATCATAAGAAAATTTTTATTTTAGCAAACTAGAGAGTGTATTTCGAATCAATAAACAATCTTTTAAGCATCAATAAAATCAAAAGCAACCCATTATGACAAGTTTCAAACATTTTGTATTTTCATAATATCTGTTTTAGTTTATTCCAAAATACGATTACGTTTATGTGTCAATTTACGCATATCGAGTAATTCCCTAGGCTTCATATGAACCTTAATGGTCACAAAAGACTTTGACAACATCTGGATTCGAACCCAAAAAGTATGAGATGCCCACTACAACCCTTGAGTTTTAAACCATATAATTGGGGGTGGGGTTGGGGGGTCTTAAGCTACTTCATAGTTGTGATCTTAATTTACTTGGGGTTCACTATCCACAATTGACTTAATACCTACCCATAATTTAAGGCATTTTTATGGTTAATTATTAGATGTTGCAATGCTTTTCTTGGAGAGAGAGTGTGCAAAAGATAAATATGATTTTATTAAGTTAGAATTCTAACGATATAAAATAGACAATCTTTCGAGTTTAATTATATAGAGAGAGAAATTTGGGATCATGTGAGACACGTGAAACATGATTTTTACACTTAAAATTTCACAAAAAAAAACACTTTACTTTCACAGTGTTGTTGTTGTGAAGATTTTACTTTCACAACATTTTGTTGTAAAGGTTCAAGTATAAAAAGTGTGTAAGTGTGTGTGTGTGTGTGTGTAGGTATCATAGTGAATATCATTTGTAGGTATCACATTGTGTATCCTATGTTTACATAAGGTTTATCGAAATAAGGTTTGCCGGAGAGAAGAAAGAAAATAGATGAAAGAGAATATTTATAAAATTCCTAAAATGCCCTTAATTAATATTTTAAGTTAAAATTACCAAAATTATTAATTTCCTAATTTAATATTTGATTTATGGTTGAGATTAGATCTCACGATTACCACAAACAAAACAGTTCTCATTTAATTAGACCAACATAATGGCCAAATAGATAAAAGTGGGCATGTACATATGACATTTCTTTAATTAGATACTAAAACAAAAATATTTATCAGTTATATGATTATAATCTCCGTATCATATCAATTCTGTAATTTTTGTTTTTTTAATCAAATTAAATAACATAAAAGGTCAATTTAAGATGGCGGTCTTAGATATTTCCGAGTACATGACCTCTGATAGAATGACTTGGAGATGGACGATCTGTGTTTTGCCATACCTTACGTTCTGTATGTTTTGCGAGTCGACTAATCCTAGGGCCACCACTTGCTTTGCAGGTAGCCCAGAGTCACTGCATTTGAACATTCATGATTACAAGGAGATTTTTATTCCTCCTTAGATTTCAAACCGAGACCTCCAGACACTTTTAACCTTTGGAATCTAAACTCAAACCAATCAAACACCACATTTATAGTTTACGTATCTGTATTTATAGCGAAGATAAAAACAAGTGTTTGAAATATACACATAAAAAAGGGAAGCAATACAATATTTTAAAAACGATAGTTGTGTTACATATTAAAATCACATTGCATGTTTTCCACATTAATTTAAATTATTACAATTACTTGCATTATGCAATTTATTTTTATTTTTTATTTAAATTATGATTTATGTCCCTGTGGTTTAGAAATTGTAATTTTTGTCCCTATAATTTGTAATTTTGTTGTTATTTTATCCCTAGACTAATTTATACCTTTAAGTAGAATGACAAAAACTGTAAAGAATTGTAAACGATAGGAACCGAAACAACAATAAATGAGAAGTTACAAGGACAAAAATAGCAATGAATTATAAACTGTAAGGATGAAAACCGCAATGTCTAAACTACATGGACAAAATTGTGAATTTTAACAAACCACATGGACTTAAAACGTAATTTACTTTTTTACTATCTAATATTAACATGCACACTCAAAGTATTTTTCTATTTTTATTTTTATTATATTTTTTATACGTAATTCTTGTAATTATTAGATTTGTATAATAGCTAAAGTAGAAGATATGAAGATTATTGTGATATTTGTACTCGAACACATTCTATAAATGGTCTATGAAATAGAGAAAACATAAAATCCTTTAAGGGGTCGTTTACCAAACACTTACCTGGGTAAGTGTTTACCAAGTCACATTATCGTACCAGATGAATATGATAAAAAAACAAGAATGTGGTAAGAACGAGACAAAGACCATGAGTCTTACCCAGTAAGTGAGGATGACGACTTTTATCACGGTAAACGCTTACCGGGTAAATTGTTACATACGATGTTGTTTTGGTGAACTAAATTTTTTTACTCGATAAGTAAATAATAGTGTTAAGTTTTACCTATAAGCACTTACTGGATAAGTATTTGATAAACGACCCCTGAAACTTAATATAGATATAAATGATTTTTTAATCCTTTCTCATCAGTAAAATTGAACGTATTATTAATTTATATATTGATTTATTAAAAGTATATTAAAATACTAAATTCATAAAATATTCTAATAACATATAGGTTAATTTTTTTTAATAAAATAATTTATTTTAATTGGGTATATATATATATATTTTATTAATTTAACTTTTGTTTTTTTTAAATTTAAATAAATTATACTAAAAATCCAAAATAAATATATTGGTGATGTTTGTGTTCCTATATATTCTTAAAAAAATGATAAAAGTTTTCTAAAATTTAACGAAAGAGACATAAATAATTTTTCATTTGATTGTTTCAATCAATTGAGATTAAAAATATATTGTCATTTTCCATAAAGGTTTTTTAAAAGTATATTAAAATAATAAGTTTATATAATAATCTAATGGTTAAATTGTATGAAAAAGTAACGTATTTCTAAAACTTTTATTTTTGTACTTAATATGTAAAGTTTTAAACATTTAAGTACCCGGGTAACCGGTTGAAGACTAATTTTAGATTGAAAAAAAGACTAATTTTACGTTTAAAAAAATTCATGTCACTAACCACGTCATCAAATAATACCGTGGGACTGTTCGGTAGGAGCTTAATGGGTTGTATAAAGAATATGGCTTATTCGCACAGCCATATCGAGTTGTTCGGTATGTGCTTATTTGGCCAGCCATGGGCTGAATCGCTCAGTTGGGAAAGCAATATCCTTTGTACTCAACCATTTATTAAGTCATTTATTCCCTTTTTACCCTTTCCCTCTCTTCCCCTTTCACTTCCATGCCCTTTCCGATGGGGTAGAGAGAGTTCAGAGAGGCGAGTTTTCGGCTTGGTGGGGGGTTTAGGAAGGTCGGTGAGCGAGGGGAGGGGTGGGTTTAGGGTAGGGGAATTCGGGAGGGAGGCCGAATAGGAGGGGAACCGACCACCACATGCCTCTATGTCCACCAATGATTAAAATTTTATAACTTTTATACTTAAAATTCAATTACTCAATATTTTTATCAAACACTACAAAAAAGTATTGGGGTAAAATGGTTATTTCTGACATTCAGACGGTTTATGTAACATGACAACCGAACAACAACTTATTTGTTATCATACATACACTTTTATCAATATATACATCTTTATCCATCAGGTCTTAATAGAAAACGAACCGAACAGCTCATGAGTTGGATACCACCCACTCGTCACATCAGCATGATAATCGGTTAATGCTTCAAACGGTTACTCGCGTACTTAAGTATTTAAAACTTTACATCTTAGATAGTAACACTATGTAAGCTACAAGGACCAAAATAACAATGAATTGTAAATCATAGGAATGAAACTAGTAATAAATTACAAACCATAGGGACTAAAACTGTAGTTTCTCAACCACAAAAACAAAAAATTGCAATTTTTAACAAACCGTAGGGACCAAAAACATAATTTACTCTAAATATAAATCATATAAATTTCCCTTTTCAAATTTGAATATTTGATTATTTATTTTAAAAAACTAAACATAACCTTTTGAAGATTCACAAGTCGTTACCGAAACACCAGTAAGAGCCAACATTTTAACTTTAACTTGTCAGGTAAGATTTTAGTCTATTAAACGGTATCGTACGAAACATTCTTATCCGTTAAGAGTAAATTGCATGAAAAAATAACGTACTTTAACTTGATTTATATTTTGGGTAACGTATTTGCAAAACTTCTATTTTGGTACCTAAGATGTAAAATTTTAAACATTGAAGCACTCGGGTAGTCAGTTGAAATATTAATCGGTTACAATGCTGATGTGACGAGTGATATCAGCATAAATATCTTAATACTGAGTTGGATACCACATCTTCGCCACATCAGCATATTAACCGATTAATGTTTTAACGGTTATCCGAGTATTTAAATGTTTAAAATTTTACATCTTAGATACCAAAATGAAAGTTTTAAAAATACGTTACCCAAAATAAAAATCAAGTTAAAATACATTATTTTATCATACAATTTACCTATCGGTAATCAAATAATCAGATATCAGATAAAGGTTATTAGTGGAGCGTAGGTTGTAATAACCAATTAGCCCTAAAACAAGCGGCAAAACGTGGGTCAAATACGGGTGCTTCCATAAAGCGACTAAACAACGACTCCGCTCATCGATTCACTCCGCTTTAAATATTTATTCGTCGCATTTCTTTTCCCCCAAAACTTCCACATCTCTCTCTCTCTCTCTCTCTGCAACAACAACAACTGCTATCTTTCCATAATCATGAATTCTAACCACTTGCTGCTTGAAGAACCTATACGAATGGCTTCCATTCTCGAGCCATCCAGACCTGTAAGCTTACTTTTGAATTTACCTTTTGTTTTTGCTAACATAATCTACTGTGTTGTTTCACTCGTGATCTTCTTTGTGAACAGAGTTATTTTCCGGCAATGACGAAGATCGTTGGGACTCTTGGACCGAAATCGAGATCTGTAGAGGTTATTTCTCGATGTCTCATGGCCGGAATGTCTGGTAATTCTTTTTTGTTGTTGTTTTCTCTTGTTAAGGTAGGTGATATGGATAGATCTGGCGTGTTCAAGTTTTTTTGAATAGTAGAAAGTAGAACCTAGAACGGAGTGAAGACTAGACTTATGTAACGTAATGATGTTTGGAGAAATAAAATACAAGTTGTTTAAGAAGATTGCTATGGTTTTCCAAAACTATGGGCAACCGATGTCCAATGGAAACAAATCGACTTTTGATTGTTTGCTTGCTCACATATGGAATCTGACTACATTTTTCTGGCTAAATTGGGCATAAACACTGTCGGTTTGACTTAGAATAGTAATTTGGAATAATCATACATGTTTAGTGCTTTTTACGACTGAAATTGGTCAAACTTGCTTTCCAAAAAAACTGCATTAAGCCTCTTAACTGGTTACCAACCGCCGTTCAACTCAATCTAATTTTGAAGAGTTGGTCGTTTTAGTTTTTTCTCAACCTGGTAACTCACTAACTTTAGGTTTCATATAAATATTTGAACAACTGCTGTTTTGTATGTTAATTTTCTGCTTGTAGTGGCACGATTTGATTTTACGTGGGGTGACGCTGAGTTTCACCAAGAGACATTGGAAAACTTGAAAATCGCTATCAAGAAAACAAAGAAGCTGTGTGCTGTAAGCTTTCGTTACTAGTTTCTGACTTGCGAAATACCGTCTGTTTTTTGATGTATAAATCATGTAAAGATGGAGCATCCTGTATTAGTGTAATGATTCTAAGAGCAGTGAATTTGTGCTCCTTTCTTTTTTACCAGGTTATGTTAGACACAATAGGCCCTGAGCTCCTTGTTGTCAACAAAAGTGATAATCCGATACCTCTTGAGGCAGATTCCCTAGTTGTCTTGTCACCCGATGAAGAGAAAGAAGCAACTTCAAGTTTATTGCCAATAAATTTCAGCGGACTAGCTAAGGTAAAAAAGATTGACTAGTATAATCTGAATGAAAGTGCATGCATGTTCATGGGTCCATGGTTTGGGGTTTTCAAATAGTCAAGCTATTTTCTATTATATTTGGTTCATTGCTAGGTCGAATTCCTATGTCTTCTGCTGTGATTTAATTTGAAGTAACCCTTGGTTTTTACAGGCTGTAAAGAGTGGTGACACCATTTTTCTTGGCCAATACTTGTTTACAGGAAGTGAGACAACGTCTGTTTGGCTGGAGGTAAGTTGGCGGTGAAGAACCAACTATTTTCTTCATTGAAAATAGTAGCATATTTTTCATTGGGCCAATTAAGTGTGGGCCTTAATTAAGTGTTGTTTCCTTATGCCATGCAGGTTAAGGAGGTGAAAGGTGATGATGTTGTATGTCTGATAAAGAACTCTGCTGTTCTTGCTGGGACATTGTACACTTTACATGTCTCTCAAGTTCACATTGATCTGCCTACGCTCCCTGATAAAGACAAAGCGGTAAACCATTTAAAAATTCACAAATCATTCACGTATATGGTTTATATCGATATTGTTTAAGCAACTATCTGATCCGATGAGAGGGTGTGCAAGTGTGCAAGTGTGCAACCTCCTTCCCCACAAGGGAATTATGATGATTAGTTATCTTTCATATCATATCTTTTGCAACCAATGTATTTTAATGGCTCTTGCATCTGACATTTTGGGAACCTCATTTTCATTGAGAACAGGGGAACCACCGAAAACGTGCCATGCGCGTGATTTTTTTACAACATTCATCATGCATATAAACATTCAAGATGAATGTCTTGTCTAGGGGTGTTCATCTAAATCGCCAAACCTCACGAACCACCCACACTGCACTGCAAAACGCAGTTTAGAACTTCCGTGATGCGGTTTGAGTTTTCATTAAACCGCACTTTGCGGTGCGATTTGCCGTTTTGAGTCATCAAACTGCGGTTCAAACCGCACCGATTGGATATATATATATATATATATATAGAGAGAGAGAGAGAGAGAGAGGAGCGATCAAATGAAAACCACTTCAATTTGTAAAAACCGTAAAAACTACTCTCATCMDTCGTTAATCTTATGAAATTTTTTCATGAAATTGTTAATCTTGTGAAATTGTTTCATATAATACTTTTTTTGATGAAGTTGTTTCATATATGGTTATGAAATTGTTTCATATACTATTTAATGAAATTGTTTCATGTATTTCTTTAAAATTAAAATAATGAAGATGATAATATCCAAGATTAACATCCTCCACAATAAAAATGATTAATCAACCTCTCATAATTACAAAAAAATGAACAAAATGAAAAATTATGTTTGGTGTAATAAGGTTTTTACGGTTTTTACAAATTGAGTGGTTTTCATTTGATCGTTCCCCTATACATACATATATATATATATATATATATATATATATTTCTTATCAAATATATATTTATGCATGTAATCACTTATCAAATGAAAATAGTTAATACATTATTGATTATTTATCAATTTTTCTCTTTAAAATTTTTTGGTAACAAATTCCCTATTTCAGTTATTTTCATTTGTCTTTTGTCAGACATCATGGTCGAAATTATTTTTAAGTTAACTTTTACTATACTTGGATTAATTACTGAACTATTTAGTTTGCATTACACCTTTTTTAATTACTTATTTCTACGTATCAGAAGTTTTTATTGTATGGAATATATGTGCAAATCAGAAGTTTTTATTGTATGGAATATATGTGCAAATCAGAAGTTTTTATTGTATGGAATAAATGTGCATAATCGTCGAATTTATTTTGAAGTTGTGATTTATAATTATTGGATTGAAGTGCGTCACATTCAAACCGCACCACATTTTGCGGTGTGGTTTTTTTTGCCGTTTGAGGCATATATGGTGCGATTTGTAGTTTGGGAAAATCTCCAAGTCACATATGCGGTGTGGCTTGCGATTTGGCCCTAAACCGCACCAAACTGCACCTTGAACATAGTCTTGTCCATATTCATCATGAATATAGATACATGGCATACTCTTGATGATTCCTTGGATCTCAATGAAAATTAGGTTCCTGACGAAACTGCCCCCATCATATATATTATGCAACTTCTGCACCATCCTGCATAAAAGTCGATAACATTTCCCTTTGTTTCAAACTTTCTTGCCTTGACAGTGTTTACTGGCTTCTTGTGATTAATTGTAGGTCATCAGCACATGGGGAGTTAAAAACAATGTCGACTTTCTCTCATTGTCGCATACCCGCAGTGGCCAAGATGTTCGACAAGTATGGATTAAACCTGCTTTTCTCTAAAATGCACGCATGAGCTTAATGCATGCGACTATTTCTAGTTTCTAAACACATTTCAATTCTCTTGCTATGTTGCAGGCTCGTGAATATCTTTCTAAACTAGGCGACCTCAATCAAACCCAGATTTTTGCAAAGATTGAAAATGTAGAGGTGAGATGCTTATTGGATATAGTTTACACATAAATCTGGAAGGTATGCACAAATCTTCATATTAACTTTTTTCTAAACTTGTCTCTGATTCTGCAGGGCCTAGTAAATTTTGATGAAATCCTTCAGGAAGCTGATGGCATTATCCTTGCTAGGGGAAATTTGGGGATAGACCTTCCACCAGAGAAGGTAACCTTGAAATATTTGATTATTTCATTCTTTTATTTCCTCAAGAAAAAATAGAAATAAAAACATTGAATGGGACAAGGAAACCACATCTGGTGTTTATCAAGTCTCAAAACTGAAAGGGAAGTGATGCTAGAGTATTTCCAACAGATTTTTCCAAAATTTCTCCAAAATGGAGAATCAAAATTCAAAATCTCCAATAAGTTACATTCAACCCCAGTAGTTTCTTCATTTTGGAGATTACAACATTGATTATGTTATTCAAATATTCCATACATGTAATAAAATCTCTCTCCTATCCTAAACATTTAATTTCAGAGTTTCTTATTGGTGGGAATATAATTAAAAAAAATGTTTCTCTCTCGTGGTAATAGTTTTTTGAGTTCTCCGAATTTGGAGAATATCACCCTCTCACTTATACTTTCTCCATTTTGGAGAGATGCTCTTAGTCTAATTGATATATGCAGGCACTATTGTTTGTTCTCATTTATTAGCCTCTTAACAGATTCCATTGTTGATACACAGGTATTTTTGTTTCAAAAAGCAGCTGTTTACAAATGCAATATGGCTGGGAAACCAGCTGTTGTTACTCGTGTTGTGGATAGCATGACCGACAACTTAAGGCCCACCCGTGCCGAAGCTACTGATGTTGCCAATGCTGTTTTAGATGGTAAATATCCAGTTTGATGGTACTTCAAAATCATTTAAATATAAATGAATTGACCAAACCAATTGAGCCCCGGTATATGAGTATATCCCACCTAGAGTTGGGGTATCGCAGGCTTGACCAACCCTGGGCTATTGAAAAGTGTGTGAAAGGGAGAAAAACATACATGTTAAAAAATAAAAAGCTGGATAAAAGTAAACAATAGCAATGAAACTGGAAAGAAAGACAAATATGATGAATAAAAATGAATGGTTCATCTTATGTTTGTGCAATTTCTCGATTTGTATCAGGTGCCGATGCAATTCTTCTAGGTGCAGAGACAATGCGGGGGTTGTACCCTGTTGAAAGTATCTCCATCGTTGGTAAAATTTGTGGCGAGGTATTTTATTTTTTGCTTTATTGAAGAATTCTCTCCATTTGTGCACCATCTCATCATGTTCATACACATGCACATACGAACATGCACAGTACGGCGCCCTTCAAATGACCCCTTATCACAATGAGAATATATAATGCTACTCCGGTCCAGTATGAAATGAACTTATGATCATAGAATCGACCCGATCATCAAATAATAGATTGTAAAGTTCATAAGTCATAACCCAGGCCCATTACCATTTTGAGCCGGAACAGATCTACCAATTCTTTATTCGAGTTAGCCTGAGGGATCTTGATATTCCTGTCATCTTAGATGCTATCACACATAAGTTAAAAAATTTAATTTTAAAAGGGATCTTCTATGATTTTGCACGTGGGTCGTGGGAGGTTATTTCTTGGTTCCCTCCAAGCAGCATTTTGTCGAAAGGGAAGTTGGTTTTTCATTTGATTTTCAAATATCATGAACATATCCACATTACAAAACACACCCTGATGGAACAATAATATCACCATTCGTCAGTCTCTTGATCCTTGATCTTCTGATATCATATTTGAGAAGTGTTGTTGAATATTCTGATGTTAGATAATAATGTATGCAGGCAGAGAAAGTGTACAATCAAGATTCATATTTCAAGAAGACTGTCAAATATGTTGGTGAACCAATGAGCCACATGGAATCTATTGCTTCCTCTGCGGTATGGAATATGGAGCTTCAATATCTTATAATAATAATATGATAGAATTACAGATATAACTTACTTGTGTGAGTATATATGTATATATAGGTGCGTGCTGCCATCAAGGTGAAAGCATCCGTTATCATTTGCTTCACTTCATCTGGAAGAGCTGCAAGGTGTGTGTTATAACAAATCAACACTTTATGTTTTTTACTTTGTGATGTAAGAGTGCGTTTGTTATGCAAGATAGTACAGGACAGTACACAACAAAACAATTTTTGGTATGTAGGACAATACAGAACAAAACAATTATCATCCCACGTTTGCATGACGTTAGACTAGGAAAGAACGGGATTGAAATCCCTCCAAAATAGGTGGAACAAAAAATTTAAGGAAATGAGGAGATTTTGATAAATTACCAAACTACCCTCGTCAAATTAGAACCCTAAAACTACCCACAATTCTTTGAGTCTCTAATCCTATCCTGTGTATCCTGTTTGCATACCGAATGCACCTGCACCCTCAGTATGCTGATGGTATATGAGTTGAAATATGCAGGTTAATTGCCAAGTACAGGCCTACCATGCCTGTGCTCTCCGTTGTTATACCACGGCTCAAGACAAATCAACTTCGCTGGACATTTACTGGTGCTTTTGAGGTAATCACCCAACTCCCATTTTAACTACCAAAAAGCTGAACATGTTATTAGCAGATTGCTGATTTGGCAAGAAGTTAATGTAAATTTTTTCAACATAACATGTTATGTATAGAATTTGGTTAAGAAAACAAATCAAAGGGTTTATTTGGGTAAACAAATCAAAGGGTTTATGTATATAAGAAATTTCACCTCCAACTTCTTTTCATATTAATTATGTCGTGGGTTGAAGGTAACTTATGATCCTGTGGTTTTTGGTGGTTTTTATGAGAAGGCAAGGCAATCGCTCATCATCAGAGGTCTTTTCCCAATGCTCGCAGATCCTCGACACCCTGTAAGGACCACCTTCTTTACCACTTAAAGTTTCTTTTTTAAATATATAATATTTATATACGACAAATACTTTAGCACCCTTCTCACCATTACCAATAACCCATGAGGTTGAGCTCTACTGAGGCAAGGCAATTTCTCATCATCAGGGGCGGACCCAGTATTTTAGCCGAGTGGGTGCACCTTTAAGGTGGATCAAAGGACGTAAAATTATTTGATGTATTTTTAGCCGAATTCCACCTTTTCGGATGATTTTTTGAGTTTTTTGGTTGACTTTGAGGATTTTTTTCAGCTTGTTGGTTGATGTTCTTTGTATTTCAAATAATTCTGGAATATCCCTCAAAGTTTAGAAGGTGACATCCCAAAAAAAAAAAATTATACCCGTGAATATATGTTGAGCAGGTTCATGGAACCCTGCTCGAGTGCTCGGGCCTTCATAGGTCTGGCCCTGGGGCCAACGATCTTCTGGTTCTGCCATTTCAGTTGACAACCCCTATTCAAAAAACTAACCCGAATCTTTGTTTTTTGTAGGCTGAAACTACAACCGCCACGAATGAGACGGTGTTAAAGGTGGCCTTGGATCACGGCAAGGCCATTGGCGTCATCAAGTCACATGATCGTGTTGTTGTTTGCCAGAAAGTCGGTGACGATTCTGTTGTCAAGATCATCGAACTCGAAGATTAGCGATCATAATTTATTTCTACTAGATGTAACTATCCCTTGCATGAGTTGTTCTTATTCATGTGCAAATGGCAGAAGCTTTGAGCTCAAGTTCTTGTTATGGCACCACAAAAATGACCCTTTTTATGTAATGAATTTTGATTTAAGATTTGCAAGCTAATCAGTTCTCTTTGTTTAGCAATTTATAATCTTATCTTTCGGTTTTTGAGAAGATAATCGTTAGTTTGAGCGTTGGGAAAACAAACCTTGCTTTTGACAGGAGAAAACGATATTCGATTTCCTGTCCTGTTTCTCTAAAACAACCTTCACCATTCAAAACTATCATCCACAACTATCATCCACAACCTCATGCATTTCTGCAAATCGAGACTATATTGCTGATTGGTAGTTACCGAATGGTTTGATATAAAATGATTAAAATACTCTTATAATATAGTACAAAATGAAATATGATTGTTTCATAATTGTTCAGAATGAAATTAGAATGCTAAATGGTTAAAAAAAACCCAAAATACAAAATCATTCATAGGGTTTTAGAACCATTAAAAAGCAAAATTTCTTTTGCCAAACAAAATTTCACATCTTAACAATTCAGATGTTACCTCTTAAGAAAAGAGAGATTCTATTTGCATTTGTCGTTACGAAAAGTCACACATCTCATTCATGAGATTGGGACAAAATACTTATTTTTGTTTACTTAAAATCACAAGAGAAAGATAGAAACTAAAAAATTACTAAAATACCCTCAATATAATATAGCAACATTATATAATACCCTCTCTATCTCAAAATAAATATCAACAATAAAAAGAGAAACAAATTTTAGTAATTTATAATTATTACACTTTTTATTTAAAAAAATAGTTTCACCCTATATATAAAATTTTTATAATTAAAAGTAGAATAGAAAAGTGAATATTTACTTCTAAAAATTAATATTTATTTTAAAACAAACTAAAAAATTAAAGCCATTGCCGCAATCACCACCTCGTACATAAAAGGATAAAAGGGACGAAATAACAATATACTTTTACAAATTTCCTTATTATGCATTCTACTTTCCGTTTTTCTTATTACAACAATATTATTAGAGTATCGTACTTTCAAAAAATTACCCGTTGTAATATTGCGCAACCTTTTAAATTGAATTTACCGATTAGACCAGGTTTCTTTACCATATCATCTACGTAGGTTGTCCATATATACGATAGTGCTGACATGCATTTTTTATTATAGCATTGTACTTTCAAAATTACTTTATACCGGGTTTCTTTACCTTGAGATACATATCTATGGCTCGATACATCCCATCATGTGCTGGTCTYGAAAAGAYGKWGACCGTCTCGGCAAGATCGACGAACATTGATAAGAGGTTGGTTCTGATCCTTTGTGATCTTAACAAGATACGAATCAACAAGTTTAGCGACCATCAACTTGGAAGCTTCCGATAATATCCCCTCCGGTTGACCTCCTCACTCTTTGAATCTCATTTTCCTCAGCTTCAAACACCATTTCGATCCTGATCTCGAACCATAAACTCCTCTACTATTTTCTGAACCGTTTTCACGTCATGTATCATGGGTTCACCTTATGACCTTCTCTGGCTCGAATCAAAAGATCATGMAYYGAAGCCTSCTCGAGTTGACGACCAATCTTTTTCACTAAATCCATCTCCACCATTTCCCCTGAATCCACCAAAATAGCCGTTTTCAACAGCTTTAGCAAGAAACCACACGAAACGCTACCTTTCTCGGCCGGCAAAAGGCACACGATTGTTTTGACTATCGATCTCGTTTTCAACACATCGCCACTCTGTATCACGCCTTTGTTAAACCCGGCAATCTTCTCGAAGCAAAAGCTTTTAAAGCTTCACCGATCACCTCATCGTGTACTAAACCCTTGTTTCTTATATTCACAAGAACCCGATTGTATAAATCGAGCTTGAGCTCAGCCAGGTCCTCAACCCACCAATCAGATGGCACCGTCATGCTTCTAAGACTGCCGTTCATTATGTGGCTATCGCTTTCTTCAGGTAGGCTTCTTACGATTAGTAGTGTATAATGACCAATCGACCTTTGAAACATCAACTGAAACCTTTGAAGCTATGGAGTCGATGCAATGATTGAATCCTTCCAACTTCTAAAAATGCTTGAGCTCAGGAAAACATTGATCATGTAAATGAGATTCCCTTTCTCCATCGTTTCGTGAATCTAGAGATATTCCGCTGCACAACGAGCAGTGACGACATTGTAAGCATTTAAGGATTGTCATGCATAACAGAACTTGGCACATATTTCAAAAGCAGCAGGACCACCAGGAATGTCATGAATGTCGATTTTATCCCTTTGTTTCCTTCGTTAGTGCTCGCTACTAACTTCTGTAAACGAGCACCCTTCGCCAACAACGAAAACTGCAAAATCGATCAATAATCAGTCAAATATTAATTGTCACCTATCATAGTTAATAGTTTGCAACCAGGCCTGTTTACCTTATGCAGATAGAACTTCACATCTCCTACATTGACGATGATTCAGTTGCCAATTCCAAAGCCACGTACCTGTATAACAAACAATTAATGCTGAGTTGGTGGAACGTAATCGGTAACTGATGATTTCATATGAACTTCTAACTATATATCCATCCATAAAGGGATGAAAACAGAAAGTAAATAGAATTCTATTCGAAAAAAGTGTTCTAATTCTATCGTTCTCAAAATAGGGGATCTTCTTATCATCAAAATCTATTGTAATCGATATGAAGACGATGATGAATCAATCTTAATAGCCAACAAAATAATCATACATGGAAGCCATTATTGAACAGTAGAATCGAAGATTACTAATAGAGTTTCATGAAAATGGTTATGAATAAAACAAGATGAATTACGAAAAGCTATATAAGAAGCATTAGCAACGGAAAGTTACCAAACATTGTTATCGTCGGTCTGAAAGAATCAGGTTTGGATCCAAGTTTCATGAACTTCATCCTCGAAGCAGCTTTTGAAACCCTAGCAACGTTTATCTTGTATTCAGATCAAAACAGGTGGAAATCATCTAGCATACAAAATTTTTAACAACATGGAACCCGAAGCAATGGAAAAGAAAAGCAAATTCATGTTGGAAGAAAATTTGTACAGCTGGTTGCGATTTCACACATTTTGCTCTATGCAAAGTATCAAAGAACTTTCAGCCTACATAACAAAAGCTACATAAAAAGATCACCAAGGGAAAACCTTCTCTGAACTCCACAAAATTTGTGACTCAATCATCTACGAGAAGAAGAAACAAAGAATCGTAAGTACTCGATATGGACACAATCAATCACGAACAAAAAAAAAACACAAAACCGATGGAAACACTAAAAAAATCACATGAATACTTTGTTGCAAGATTGAATAATCAAAACACGAAGAAGAAGCTGAAACAGAAGCGATTTACCTTGCTCGACTTAATTTAGGGTTAAAACCCCCAAATTCGTAGATCAACCGAACTGAATAAAATTGAACAAATTCACGAAAACCTGAATTCCATATCATATAATTTTATCACCGAATGATTACAAAAGTATCAACTCCAGATCCACTTCGAATTTTTACAATAAAACGCATGACTTCATTATAATTTTCAAGTACCGAATACCAAACCCTAGCATCTACGCCAATCTCTAAGAGCTTGTAAACTTGGTTACAGCCTTAGTACCTTCAGACACCGCATGTTTCGCCAATTCACCGGGAAGTACAAGTCTCACAGCGGTCTGAATCTCCCTGGAAGTAATCGTCGGCTTCTTATTGTACCGAGCAAGCCTCGAGGACTCCTGAGCCAACTTCTCGAAGATATCGTTGATAAACGAGTTCATAATCCCCATAGCCTTGCTAGAGATTCCAATGTCAGGATGAACCTGCTTCAAAACCTTGAAGATGTAGATCTTGTAAGTCTCCACCGACTTCTTGTTCCTCTTCTTCTTCTTATC